TGGCTGGAGGCAGCAGAGGTGGCAGAAGGAAGCAGTCTGGTTGTAGTTGGAGATGGCGGTCATCACTGCGCTCTTGGCCCTCTGGAGCCATCGGATTCCTGCCCATTCTTTTGCCTCCAGATAATTCTGTGGGGTCCCTAATATTATTCCATGAAATACTCTTTCTGCTTAGAAGACAGTCTCTATTTCTGCTTTTTCAGTTTAAGTAACTTATGCTCCAGCCAGAGAGAACACAGATGTTTGGGCTTTGCTTGATAATAATTATTGTTGAATCTAACTCCCCTTTGTGCAATTTTCTTCTTTCCACATTAACTGGAGAGTAGGTCATGATTACACAGTCTTTGAATATTTCCAGTGCCTCTAATAGTAACCTTGGGTAACAGAGCAGTTTGTGAATGCGATTTGACTTCACATATAGATCCATTCACTTAGCCAGCTCATGAATTCAGGTCCATAGGAGACTATATTTAATAATGTGAGTTATTAAGTGGGGTACTGGGAACATCTTAGCTACTGCCAGTCCATTCTTAGGACCTGCTCTCCTATGAACACTCACAAGATGGACAGGTAGACTCATGAATGTGGGAACCAGGTATCCTTGGACCCTACCTCAATAAGGAAATAGGATTGTTCTTACTTCATTAAGGGCTTCCCTATAAAACCTGAACGATTTATTGTACATTGTAAGTTTTAATAAAACTTTAATGAATTATGAGTATGGTGTTGTCTTGCCAACATGGTAGTCAAACAACTTTGCATGCAGGACAGGAATTAGTTTGAGGAGGCACTAGGTTGTGACTTTCAAGTAATAGCTTTGGTTTTATGATTATAGGAATTCATCTTATTAATTCATAGTCCGGCCATTATTCTTTCTCTATTGCTAAATCATGGTCTCCCTGGTCCTAAAATGTATGCCTATTCTCTTTGAAAAAAGTCAAAAGCCTTTTTGATTATAAAATGATGGACCCAGTTTAGACGTATAAAGGAAACTAAAAATACTTCTTTTTTCTTCTGCCTCTTTGGTTACTTGTGTATGCTGAGAGAGAGTCAGGATAATGTCTATTGAATACTCTGAATGTAGAGAGTTCTGAAGGGTCTTCCAGATTGTCCACTGAACCAGCCATCTACTGTGTTTAACTACCTGTCTGGTGTTTGAATCTGCGAAGGCACTCTATGAGTGTCCCAGTTATGCCGGAGTAACCCCACAACAGCATAATTGACTATAAGGCACCAACCACATTCTCAGATGACTTGTGTGTTTGAAAATGTCTTCTAAAAATGGAGCCTACATCTCTCTTCCGGCATTCCTATCTTCTGGTCTTGATTGATTTTTGTATATTAATTTATACTCAGCAATTTTGCATTCCTATATGATGCTAACCTATCTGGGATGTCTGAAATTTCCGTTAATCATATCTGAATTGAAATTCTGTTTCTTCCTTTCCTTTAATAAGTTTTTATTGCTTTGTGTGAGGGGGCTAGGGAATCAAACCCAGGGTATTGTACATGCTGAGCCAACACTCTACCACTGAGCTGCACCCCCAGCTTTCCTTCCTTGTTTTATTGCATTGATCAGGACTTTCACATGTGAGACAGAAATGGTGATAACAAGGATCCTTATTTTGTTCCTGACTACTGTGGAAAAGTACACAGAAAGATTTATTAAATGTTAATTTACTAATTTATTTTCATTTTTGGTACCTGGGATTGAACTCTGCGCCACTGAGCCACTTTCCAGCCCTTTTTTATTTTTTATTTTGAGACAGGGTCTTGCTAGTTGCTTAGGGCCTCACTAAATTATTGAGGCTGGCCTGGAACTTGTGATCCTTCTACCTTAGACTCCCAAATCATGTTGGCAAGACAACCCCATACTCATAATTCATTAAAGTTTTATTAAAACTTACAATGTACAATAAATCGTGTAGGTTTTATAGGGATTACATGCATGCTCTACCACACCTGGCTAAATGTTAAATTAATTTCAGGGATAAATCTGAGCAAGTCATGGTTTGTTGTTATTATTCTGATTTGCTAATGTTTTACACAGGAATTTCATGTTTTTAGTTGAGATTCATCTATAAATCTTCTTTTTGTCCTATTATTGTTCAGTTTTGTTATCAAGGTTCCTGTGGTAGGTTCTACCAATTATTTTCCCAGAAGTCACCTTCCTGAGTCAGCTCTTTTTTCTTCATTTTCTTTCCTGAAGGCTGTTTTACTATAAAATAATAAAGAAAACACTGGCATGAAATCATATAAGCAACTGATCCTCTACGTTAAAAGGATTTTATTTTTGGCCTTGGCATCAACTGGGAAATAGCACTGCAAGAATTGAGAGGGTCCTCCTCCCTTTCTTAAAAGATCATACCCCTCTTGAATACGAAAGAGGGTCCCTTGAACATCCTTCTCTTGGGAGTTGGGGAAAGACCTTATGTTTAATTGGTCAGAAATAGGTCACATGATCTTACCTCCAAGGGTAATGGAATAAGTGAGTATCTGAGATTTTTATTTAGTTTGACATCAAAAATATATGTTTTCTGTTTGGCATACCTTTTTTTTTTCTTTCTATCTATTTTATGATGCTGAAGATTGAATCCAGGGGCACATGCCTGCAAGGCTAATGCTCTAACACTGGACAACATCCACAGCTGGCTTTCCTTTTTAATTCCCCTGCCTTCTAGGGATTGATTATGTTTTCTTTCAGAAGTTATTTATTGTTTTACCACTCCCTCACTTTACATTCTGAGAGTACTTACCTGCCTTAAAAAGACTAAATCAACAAACATTTCTCTGCCATTCCTAAACAATATTAGCACCTTAGAGTGTTTTTGTTACCATAATTACCTTTATCTTCTGTTGTCTATTACTTAGATTCTATAAATATACCCCAAATTAGTCATTGTTAGTATTTTTAAAACATTCTCTGCTCATTCATATTTGCTCAAATGTTTACCAATTTATTTATTACTTCTAGATAACTCTTTCCTTCCTGAACTCAGTTTCCTCTTACTTAAGTACATCCTTCAGTAGTTCTTTCAATGTGGATCTCTGGGTAGTAACCCCTCTCAGTCCTTGACTGATTTTTATGCCCGATTCTCAATTCTAACTTCCCATTTGTGTGGGCCTGAGGCCACATTTCCTGCCCCCTTATGGGATGACATCCCTGACCCCAAGTTGTCAGGGCCTACGCTGGATTCTGATGTCCCATGGCTTTTTCATCACTCATTGGTATGCTTACCACTGTGGTTCAAGTTTCCCCCGTTCTCTATTACCTGAGGATTTCCCCTTCTTTGTTTTGAGTTCAGCTTTATATTGTTATATTTCATCCTGTGTTTGTCATAGGAAGTGGGGGAGGGTCTACATTAATCTTTTTAGTTACTATTACTGGAAGTCCACATATTCTATTTATAACAAATTTCCTTTTTACTGATGTTTATGACTCTCCTTTAAAATAAATATCATATATTTTGATAGAGAAAACAGATATGACAGAGACAGCTGGATACTTCTTATTCTGTTTCAGCAAAAGTTACAAAGTTTCTAAAATTTTTCTTGATTTTTGGTACATAGAGAACATTCCCCAGGCAATAACTTAAGAGAATGTAATCGCCTGCCAAGAAATGGAATTTTCCATAGTTTCTATTTTCCTGCATTTCCTTCACTTCTTCTTGCTCTACAGAGGTGATCCCAAGGGGGAAAACTGTTCAATATTTGCTTCACACCCTCCACATGATGAATGCCAAACCTCATATAGAGAAATCTGTCTCTGTAAGGAAGCGATCCTCAGGTCAGACCCAGAGCTCAGAGATTCCTTGTAAATCAACAGCTGGTAGAACTGGTTCCAAATCCCGGGAATTCACAGCTTCTAATAAATGAATGGGATCCATCTCATTTGCATTTCATTATGACTCAGGAATTCCCTGCTACTGCATCTCTGGGCAGATAAAAAGGCTTTGGTTTTATCAGCCCCAGGCCATTGCCCCAAGATACTGGCCTGGAACTTCCACCTGCACTGCTAACAGAACCCAAAGTACAATGCAGAATGGCCTATTTCACCCTGCCAGAGAGTGAAGCCCATGTTGGAATGGTGAAATCCAAATATGGCTCCTCTGAGAATCGTTTGTGTACATACAAGTCATGGAGAATGGATGAATATTCACAGGGTCAGTGAATAAACTGGGGGTGCTGTCCAGCAAGTAAGTTGGAAAGGCTCTGAATAATCACAAATAGGCCAACTAGAGAGGCCACAGCTGGGTATAAAGTCAGCTGTGGAAAAGCTAATACCACACTGGTTTGCTGGGGTTGACAGCTAACTTTAGTACAACGTATTTCATGTGACCTAGGAAAGAAGTGAAGGGAAGAAGGAGGCCTGGCTGGGTGTACTGGGTGTGGATAAGATCAGAGGAGCCCTAATGATCAATTGTGCCACCAGCGATAAGCAAACAGCAAAAGATTAAGAATACATTTCACAAAACAAATGGTATTTTTGCATTAGAAAATGATGGTTTCTGATTCCTTTCCAATGCAGAGTGACAGCCTCTACTTGGGAAAAGTTGAGTTCACTATCACTCTGGTCACAGGTGCCTATTCATTTTGTCATTTCTCTTTGTGGACACCTGAGTAGCTGCTTGACAGTAAATAGAAATCCACTGCCACCCTCAGACTTTCCCTACAATTTCTAGGTATCTTTTTCTATAGTTGATGCCAAACAAGGGACAAGACTAAGTCATTTGATTCTTAAGGTCAGATTTCATCTTGTGCCATCCAAGGGCGGGAAAGGGAAGGGGTAAGTTCCACTGAAAATGCAGCTGGAGTCCATTTCACAGAATGCAAGGAGGGTGGGGTCTGTTTTTGGAAGCAATGAGATTGCTGGCTTTAGAGGGTGGGTGAATGGCTCTCCAAGTGACCTTTTCTCTCCTGGACACTCACAGCCTTTATCTCAATGGCACCACGGGCTCAGGTGCGAGGGATTCCTGTGTGTATCACCCACTGCCATGACTTACCTGTTGAGATACACCCGTTTCTCCGTGAACTGCCCATTGCCATGGTGAGGGTCCTCGAAGGGCTCATTCTGGACGACCTCCACCCCTTCTCCTCGGTCACTCTGTTCGTGGCTGTGCTTGCTGATCATGTACAGCTGTCCAATTTTGTACTACAAAGCACACAGAGACAGAGACAAAGAGGTCAGCCCCCCAGCTTGCCTCTGACAAATCCCCCTCCCACCGTGGCGCCGGAGCAACTAATGACATCAGCACCTTCTGCCGAGAAAAGAAAGCAGGCACTCGTGCCTAATGTGACTTTTCTCTGGGAGCTAGGAAGAGAACTAGTGTGAGCAGAATGCAGAAACGGCATGTTCCTGCAAATGTTCCGCATCACCTTGGCAAGTGCTCCCTGGGGTGGCTGGCAGTCTTTAAGGTTCAGCGCTGACCAGCCCTTCCACAGCAGCAGGGGAGGGGAGTGCAGGAGTCTCGCGTTCCATCCTGGTCCTAAGGGTTACATGGAGCTAATATCCTATTTGGCTTGGCCAAAGGCTGCCTAGGGTGTGTTGCTTCTGTCCCTGCTTTCTGCCTAACCAGCAGGATTGCTGGACGTGGACTATTATGTGCCTCTACTACCCCTGGAGGTGCTCATCTCTCCTGGAGGCCCTAGTATAGCAGTTCTCACAGGCAACTGGACACCACCTGGAAACTTTTTATTTTTATTTTTTCCCCAGTTCAGGAACTAAACCCATGGAAGCTTAACCACTAAGCCACATCCCCAGCCCCCTTTTTTTTTAATTTTTAGATAGGGACTAAGTTACTTTGGGCCTCACTAAATTGTGAAAGCTGGCCTCAAACTTGTGATCCTCCTGCCTCAACCTCCAGAGTTGCTGGAATTACAAGTGTGCACCACTGTGCCTGGCTTCCTGGAAGCTTTTTGAGGGGAGAGAGGGGCGGGTACTGGGAATTTAACCCAGAGGTGCTTAACCACTGAGTTACATCTCCAGCCCTTTTCATTTTGAGGCAGGGTCTCGCTAACTTGTTGAGGCTGGCTTTGGACTTGTGATCCTCCTGCCTCAGCCTCCCAAGCTGCTGGGATCCTGGAAGCCTTTTCAAGCTCCAAATATCCAAGCCAACAATGGCTGGAACCAAGTCTAAGAACCTAAGCTCTAGAAGGGCGCATCACATGAGAACCAACCTCAGTATCTTTAACTCCTTTTCATTCAACTCCACTGTAGGTGCCTGGCCTCCCAGCCCAAGTCCCAGAAGCCACATGTCCTACTCTAAAAATGACAAAATGGAGAAACATACAATAGGAACATTTTCTATTCTTCAGGATGTTTCACTCTCCTTCCTGCCTCTCTGAAAATGCTGGGGCCAGCCGGCATTTCACTCCCCAGTGCACTTTCAAAACGACAAAATTATTTTGATGGGGTGAGGAGACAGGAGGCAGGAAAACGATGTTTGCATGAGAAACTAGTCTGTTGAGGGTCAGAGGCAGAATGATGTGACCCTGCTCAGTCCCTCCTGCAGATGAGGCGTGAGGTAACACAGACAGAAGTCATTGCCACCAAGACTCTGAGACTTGGGAGCGGGGCCTGAGTCTGCAGCAAGCTAATGACAACTCTGGTTTGTTCTCAAAAGGACTCTGGCCAGACATCTCCCCGGCCTACGTGCATAAGAGAGAAATGAATGAGCCAGCAGTGTACACGCGGTGGAAGGACCCTCTCGTGCTGAGGCAGGTGCAGGGAGGGGAGTGTGAAGAAGCTCCAAGCTGAGGGACCAGGCCCAGTAACCATGACGACAGGAGTGGGCTGGAGCTGGCTGGGTCTTCTCTAAGGACTATGCTTCCCATCTGGGCCACACCCCTCTTCAGAAAGGTCTGTGTTTAAAAATGCTTTCAATATGAGTGCATTTGTGCAGATGCAGGGAGAAGACAGTGCTGAGGATAAGAGCAGGAAGAGGAAACTGGAAGATCAAATCCATTTTAAAGATGAATTAGGATCAGGATCAAAAGCTTGACCTGGCTTCCCTGAGGTCCAGTTCTGCTTTTACTTTTGTTTCCAAAGACTACAATGCTCAGGGCTGAGTTGTAGCTTAGTGGTAGAGTGCTTGCCTAGCATGGGTGAGGCACTGGGTTTAATTCCAGCACCAATATAAATAAACAAAAATAAAGGCCCCAAAAAGGAAAAGGAAAAAAAAAAAGACTATAATGCTCTTTCAAAGTGGGCAGTAAGAACAAGCTCACAGATTGGAGATTTGCGAGCTATACCTTGAGATCAATGCCCTACCTTACACTGACAGGAACAGGAGCCTGAATAGGGTGCTTAGCTGCTCAGGGGCATGGCCTTCACTGTCAGGTACTTTGGACTTGATGTTGAAAAAATGTATGTTTGTTTGATGAAAAATTATTCAGCCATAAAAAAGAATGACATACTTATGCTGAAACTGCTTACTGGGCATTGTGGGTTGAAGTATGTCCCCCAAAGTTCACATGGTTAAGTCCGAACCTCAGAATGTGACCTTATTTGGAGATAGGGTCTTTACAGAGGTAATCCAGCTAAAATGTTATTAGGACGGGCCTAATCCAATGTGACTGGTGTCCTTCTTATGAAAAGAGGAATTTGGACAGAGTCAGAGAGGCCAGAGAAAGGTGAAGAAATGATGGCCACGTACAAGGAATAGACTCTCCTTCACAGCCTCCAGAAAGCAGCAGCCCTGCTGACACCTTGACTTCAGACTTCTTCCTCTAGGCTTGGGAGACAATACCCATCTACAGTTGTAAGCCACTGAACACGTGGTATTAGTCATGCAGCCTTAGAAAATTAGTACAATGGGTATAAAGGTTCTTTGGGCAGGGGGATAAAAGTGTTTTGGATGGCAATGGAGGATGCACAACATTATGAAAGTTCTGTTACGTGACTTTCATCTTGATTTTTTAAAAAGGGTAGACTAGATTCAGGAACAGACATCCTTAACCAAAAGTCCCTATCTTCAAGTGTGTGGGGTTTACAGAAGAGCTGGGCCAAAACATCAGACCATCTGCAAAAGCTCCAACTCACTCACATATTAAAAAATGTATAGTACCAAGGTCAACACATGACACAGAAAAGCCATTAGCCAGAAGCGAGTCAGCCCTGGCTGGGCTCAGTTCAAGTGCTTCCTGCTCTGCAGGGACGAGAACAGAACAGGGAGGCAGTGTAGGCTGATTCATGGGTGGCCAGTGGAGGGCCCAGCCTCACGGATCATTCTAGCATCTCCAGCGCAGGGCAGACGCCAGCCTTAGCTCACTGTGACAGCATCGGTCTGGGGGTGACCTGTAGGTGCGGGGGTTGGCAGGATACTCAAGCCCAGACACCCAGATAGGCAAGACTCTGTGACTGTCCTCTCTGTCCCTACCAAGAAAATCAGGCTGGCTCTGCTCTTTGTTTGTGGTCATTGGAGCTGGGCCATCCAGAAGCAGTTTATGATGTTGTTTTGTTTTTAAAGCACAAATTGATTCGCAGACATAAGCAGCAAACAGTTTGGCCCCGAAACCACTTGTTTTCTACATCACTGAGGATCCTCCTAAAAATGCCAAATCCCAGAGCATTCTAGAACTACATTCAGCATTGAGTGAGTGTTTGAATAAGGGGGAATTCAGTGCTGAATCCCGAGGCAGAGCACAGTGGGGGAATTCGTCAGTGCTTGCTCAGGACTAAGGTGTGCCAGGCTGGAGTGTCCCTTCTTTAGGATGGCCTATTCTTTACCCACACATACCCACCCCACTGCCACCATTGGTACTAGGAATTGAACCCAGAGGATCTTTACCACTGAGCCACATCTACAGCCATTTTTATTCTTTTTATTTTGAGACAGGGTCTCACTAAGTTGCTTTGAGAAACTAATGTGACTCCATTTTTGAGAAACCAGCCTCTACCTCAGAGCAAAGCCTATCCAAGGAAGGGGGCGTGACCCTTGTCCTTGGAAAAACCCCCAGAGCACTCCTAGGCACATACCTACCCTGCTGAGTTGTTTTTCTGTAAATAACAGGAGAAGTCTGAGGTGCCAGGTGTCCCTGACTCAGTGAGGCTAGGTGAGGACCCATAGCAACCCCCCCTAGCAACTTCCAATTAGCATGAGACATGGAAAATACCTGGAATGCCAGATGACCCCCAAATAGTTTATTGTGGTTGATAACGTGTTGGGAAACCATGTAGTTTAGCACGTACACCCCTCGTGGCCTAAACCAATCAGTTCAAAGGAATCCCCCTCTTGTACTAACCAATCACCCCTACCCAACTTGTTCCCACCAGTGAATGTGCTAATCAATGTTAAGAGTTGTTGTTTGACTTTCCCACGGTATGGAATGATTTGCTGTGTGATGTGACGCATAGAGTATCCCCCCAAAACCTATAAAATCTCACTAAACAAAGGACCGGGACTCATTCCCTGGGACCGCTGTGTCGGAAACGGTTGTGAGTCCAGGCTCGAGCCTGCAATAAAGACTCTTGTGTGATTGCATCGGATTCGGCTCCTGGAGGTCTATTGGGGTCCCACGAATCTGACATAACAGCTTAGGACCTCGCTAAATTGTTGAGGCTAGCCTCAAACTTGCCATCTCCAGCCTCAGCCTCTGAGTCGATGGGATTACAGGCATGTACCACAGTGCCCAGCTAGGAGGCCTATTTCTTTTTGCCTTTTTTGTACTAACGTCTTACAAGGTTCCATCCTTAACTGAGTAAAAATACCACATCTCTGATCACTACTGCAAACAAACTTGTTTGTTGAAGGAAGGTCTCAAAATCGAAAGACACAGAGGGTTCTGAAGACCTCAGACTTGGTAACAGAATTGATGATGATGATGATGACAGCATTGCATAACTTTAGTGACTGCCCATTAGCAAGAGGTACTGATTAAGTGTTTTGTATTCATTTCTAATACAATGATTCAGCCAGGTAGATCTCTACAAATGAGGAAACTAAGTCTTAGAGAAGTCAAAGACTTTCTGTAGTTTCTACACAACAGAGCTGGGATCTGTGCACCACAGGTCAATAATACTCTTTCTACTCCACCTGTCTTTGGGCCTTATATCTTTCACAGGTGAATTGATTTAACAAGTCTGATTTAAATCACTATGATTTAAAAGGATGGGGGTTGTCAGAAAGTCATGCCTCTGAACTTTGCTATTTC